TGTTCTGTTATTCTTCAGTGTTTTGTTGCCGAGTTACAATTTCATATTAGCTAGCCATGGTTTAGTCACTGTGTCGATGATCACTTATTCCTACGGGTCGTGGCGAAACACTTATCAGACAGTGTATCTAACGTTTTCGTTCCTTTTGAGACCTTTGAGATTCCGCAGAAAATATTCGTTGTCATAAGCCAAGTATCTCGAGACACTTGCCCAAGGTCATTCTTGGTTGTCCTTGGCCGGTCGGTTGTAGTAGCTTCATCGCCTTCCTTTTGAAACATTCGCAACATCTGCCCATCACAGCTGTGATTTCTCAGTCTGGAGAAGCCGCTGCTCTATACCAAATATCTCTGAATACCTGCCAATGTTGCGCATGCAGATGAAGATGGACTTGAACACAGACAGGTTTTTACTCGGACTCAGTTCTGTCTTAGCCACAAGGTTTGGTTAGTTCACCAAAAACGTCACTAGTCAGTCCAATTAGCTTGTCGATCACTTCCATTTTCCATAACCACTTAACACGATTCTGAGGCACCTGCTCCACTATTTCTCCGTTTTCTGCAGAGCACGGCGGGCAAGAGAACGAGAAAGCACAGGTATTTTCGTTTTAGACACGTTCGCCTGCATGCCGGCCACGTGGCTTCGACTTCGGACCTTCCCAAAGAGCACTTCAGGTCAATTTTGGAAGATGCCAACAAAACAAGGTCGTCTGCAAACAGCTAATTTGTCGTTTCTACATATCTTACGTTGATTCGGTCGTCCCTTTGGCTTTGTTTCCATGTCCAACGCAAACAGGAGAGGAGCCTGAACGCAGCCACTTCGAATGTTGTGCCTTGATGGTTGGCTGACGCTGATACAACGCTGTACGTTAGTACTCAGAACTTAGTATTTCTCTAGTACTTCGTAGTACGAGAAGTGAAATATGGTACGTAATACTTTTCGAGTAAAGTATATTACGAACACAGTGGCTTTAAAGAACAGTGTTTCTACCAGTGTCGTACTGGTTTTCATTTATAGTATTTTGGCAGTCTATTCTAGGACATTTAAACGTTTTTGGAATGATAGTCCTCTAGGTGGGAAACTTGAAGCTTTTGTTGGTGAGACATTGACGTTTTCCATGATGAATATCCAAATTGCAGTATCTTTTAGTCAGTAATTGGGCCTGCTCATGTATCGTGAAATCCAAAGGTGAAGTCACCCTGATGTTTATTATGTGCCTTTAGATATGCGGACTTGTAATGTAAGATTTATGTGGAGCATGTAGCCTGGTTGAGAAATATTTCGCTTCCTCTATTCTTATTGTTAAAACACGTTAAAGAAGATTCTCCATAATACCTGTCTTGGTGGCAAAAACGAAAAGTGACCAAAGTATGGGATTGCATGACTTGTGCCTTTTATGTTGGTTCCATCTGGTAGATTCGCACTCGGACAGAGGGATTGTCATTCCGGGTCCACATCACTACTGAGAACGCTTGATAACGCCGTTGCACTCTTTCACATTCATTCGCTTTGAACGAAGTGTCTTCGAGTTGTTGTTGAGAAAGCGGAAGACTCCGACAGATTGAAAGAAAATAACGATTTTTCTTTGTTTGAATGATTAAGACGTCAGAATTCAGGAACAATATCACTGCCCAGAATTTTTGGCCTTCATGGAGCCGTCTCTCGCAACAGAGTTGGACAGTTGTTGTTGCACGATTTACGTTCGTAAATAGCAGATAGCTCTTTGTAGGGCCTAGGCCAGCTGTTTAATTAGCATGCTTTATACATAAAATTGTTTAAAACAAGTGGTATTGGTGCAGAAGCCTTCACGACGCCGATTTTTCAGCGGATGAGGATTTCTTCTTGCTGACCATGATTAAATCCCGATGGTATAAAAATTTATTTTTATTTCTATGAGGGTCAGCGCCTGACTGTTTTTCAGAGGTTGCTCACCCTGACAACATATACGTATAGAACGATGTATATATACAGACAAATGCTACCTACTTTTTCTCTCAGGATGAATGCAGGGTTTCTGACAGAGCACCTTGAAAACGATCCGAGTCTCATAATACGGTAGTCAACTATGGTACCACAAGGCGTGCATGAGCCTCTTTTTTAGTAGAAGTAGTTCGTTGACTAATCGGTTCGCTACATTAGCTCCGAGCACAGTTAATTTAGCCAGCAGTTCATTCCCCAAAGTAAGGCTTAAGTCCATGAATGGCAATCTGCCTTCGCTTCTTCTATCTTGAATTTTGATCTGACTTGTTAGAGTGACAGCATCTTCCATAGTTGTGAGGTTTTCCGTATGAATTACTAATTGTCGGTTGCCTCAACAACTTCGTCTTCAGGGAGGAACTACTGAAAGTACTCAAAGATTTGGTAATGACAGAGGCATAGACGCTACGAAGAAGTGAGCACTTTTTTCAGTGCTGAGCAATCACGGCAGATTTAAGTAGCACTGATCTCTTTAACGTTTCATTTTGGATTTTATCCTGATTCTGATCATCGATTCATCTAAAAAGTTTTTCTAGCGAATAGACCCACGCCGTTGGCCCCACGTCCGATGAAAAGGTCGTCTTTTGTAGGCACGGCGCAGTACGTTAGCCCGGAAGTGCTGAATGGCGAACCATGTACCGTATGGTGAGTTCAGAGATAATTAAGACCAGCGAAATATTGTTTTTCAGTTGTGACTTCTGGGCTGTCGGCTGTGTCATCTACCAGCTGTTATCCGGTCGACCTCCTTTTCGAGCACCGTCAGTTTTTTTCTCGCTTTTTTCTCGACATTACGGCTACATTATAGGAACGAATATCTCATTTTCCAGAAGATCAATAAACTTGATTACACGTTTCCAGACGGGTTTCCGGAATTGGCTGCGCTTATAGTGAAAAGCTTTTTGGTATGGTCACGTTCATCTTTCGATGTTCAGCCGAAATGCGGTAATCTGACATGGAAGTTGTTTGTGTTGTTTAGAAACTGAGCGCGAGCGAACGACTCGGTAGCCCCCAACAGGGCGGCTGTAAAGCGATAAAAGAACACCCGTTTTTCGAGACAGTCGACTGGGAAACGTTACCGGAACAGACTCCACCAGCCATGCTGCCCTACCTCCCCAGAACGACCACCAACGACGCGTTTACTAGCACGTATTGCGTGAGTAGCGTTCCCATGAAAGTCCGACTGAAAGCCGATGTATGTTAAACGTACTTTAGCGCTTTCGTCGTTCATGTAAACGGTTTTACAGCTGTTCTTGATGGCATACTGTGCATTTCTCAACGGTGATCCTATTTTCATAGCACAATGAGAATTTTTTGTAGCCAAATTGCTGGGACCAGTATTCCGGGATTTTATTGTAAAGAGTACTTTTGAAAAGTAGTCCTGTTATATTTAATAGTACATATTTTTTAAATTTTGTATCTGTTCACAACCTCGCTTCTTTGAAAAAAATCCTTCGCGTTGAAAAAATATTTCTGTTACCGGCAGGTAACTGTCCTAAATAAATGTTTAAATTTCAGTGTTACTAACAGGACGTTGTCTTGAAACGACATCTTGATAGTTTTTAGACACCGTAAATTAAATAACGCTGCATAGTATGAGCTTAACAGAAGGTATTGAAACTTATAAGCTTTATGAAGCGTGTTAATCATAAATTAAATCTAATACAGTTCAAAACCATTAAATCTAAAAGTTAGGGACATAGTTAAAAACGTACATAACAGATGGGTACGGGTAAACTAAAGGCCAACAAATGCCGCGAGGTGCTCGGCACGTCCAGTTTCTCACTGGATTCGTTCGTATCTATGTATGCCTGTATTACACTCCATATCCGTATGGACGGTTTACCACTCCAGAGAGTAATACAGATCCTCAAACAATGTAGTCTTCCACCAGTGTTTCTGTCTGTTGAGATCATCTTGAGCCGTTTGTATTAGCAGAACATTTCTGGTTTGTGATTTCCGCTGTAAACGCTGCCTTTCAACACTTGCTATAACACGTTTACTAGACTATAGAAGGAACAATTCCTCTCCGAAAGCAGATTGGCTTGATTCCTCCGTGTTGCATGCTAGCCTCCTGGTCGACGTTTGCGTGTTTCAGCTTCATCGCGAGAAGCTCGCGGGCTGAATTAAATAGCGTATGCTCTACCTGTTTCTCTAACATCTCGATTCTCCTTTTTTTACACTTCACATCTATAGAGGTTACCTGTGCTCAGAAGAGAGTGGAGTGATTCCTTACGCGATTCTGCCATTTATTTCTCATCGTGCGTCAAAGCCAACGCTGGAATACGCAGTTCAACCGTCGTTCTGGCTGAGGCAAGGTACAGGTAGATTTTCGTGCCAAGACTAGCTTCTTTCTCAACTAAAATATTGGACAGATTTCCAACGACGGTCGAGATCGGGACGATCCTCCTATCTAACTCTTACCGGATAATGCCATTTTGGAGATAACGGAGCTGAAATGCTTATGCTGGTTTCAGTACCATCCTAGCTTGAAACCTGGACAGTGATCGTATTTGTATCACCATAACACGATAGTATTCAAAAATGTTATATACTTCCCTGATCCAGTAATGCCCCGTTTTTCGTAGCAGTTGTAAAACCGAGATTTAGTGGACCGTTGTTCATATTTTTCAAGTCATGCAGATACACATAATCCCAGACCACATCGGTGGCTACTGATAACGACTGATTGAAACGATCGTGCTTTTTAGATGCCGGGAAGTATAGAACCAGGTTTAGACGACAAGCAGCTTACACGACTTCTTGGACTTCACCTAGGCGACTGGAAGTATAAACTTTATCGATGATTATTCACTAATTGAATAACTGTTTTTCTTACTGTATAGACCTAGCTACAATGACATTTCACGGCTATTGCTGTCGAAGGAGGAACGTCGAAAGCAGCTAGATGAGCAGACAAAAAGTGTGTATAACCGTTTCGTCGAAAATAACGTCGTACTCAAAAGCGGTCTGTTGGACAAGCGGAAGGTGAGGTCGAAGAAAATGATACTGGTATGTGTTATGAATGATGTGGTGTTTTGTTTCATCAGGGTCTTTTTGCCCGTCGTCGTATGTTTTTGCTGACAGAGGGACCGCATCTGTACTACGTGGATCCAGTAGCCATGGAATACAAAGGACAGATTCCTTGGTATGAATCCATATTTAAACAAGCATGTGTTTGTCAGTTGCTTTTCTTTAGGAGCGTTGAATTAAGAGCGGAGGCAAAGAATTTCAGAATATTTTTTGTCCATACGGTAAATAATTGATGACTACTCTTCCATACAGTATATCTGACAGGCGTTAACTTATAGCCGAATCGAACGTATTACTTGGAAGACCCTTCTGGTCATGCCCCTGACTGGTGCGACAGCATTGAGCAGGTGCGGCAGCACTACTACTGTAACAAAGCGCCAGATAAGGAACAACAGATGCAGACGCCAGATGGTTCTTGACCATTTTTGAAGATAGTGAACAATAATTCGTTGTCGTTCGTGTAATCACAATTATTGCTATACAGAGAAAAGTAAAATATAAATTTTATTTCTTTATAGGTTTATTTTATAAACGATTTCATCCATGTAAAATAATCTATTCATGATTTGCGTCGAAGGCACTGAGTGATCTATGTAAGCGGCGTTCGGTTAATGTCATGAATTTGGTTTTTGGCCAGTGGTCACGAACCAACCTCCACATTCACCGGTGACCCGTCTTGTATCACGTTCAATGACTTCTGACTTGCGGTTCGGGCGCTGAGCGAGTTGAAACTGGAAAGTGAAGAAGCTATGCTGGCGAGAGACCCCCTAAAACAGCCTTCTTCCATAATTTTGCGAAATATTCTGGGCGGAAAAAAATTACTTGTAATTGCACGAGTCCAGTACTTCATAGTAATACATAACTTTACATCGGTGCGTAAGCGGAATGGAAAAATCGAACGGAAGCTGAGCACCATGCAAGGAGTCCGGCAACCTCCACTGTAGCACGTAGGTGCCTGTGCGCTGGCATATATGAGATCCCTGAAAAACATCGAACAGCATGAACATCAATACCTCATGATATGCGATTTAGTTCGTAATTGCCATATTTTCCACTGCAGCACGAAGAGATTCGACGACATCGGTATTAATTCTTTAACATGACCAAAATATAGCAGTCATGCACGGGATTATCACAGGAATGGACAATAACCTGTTTGATAAAACGTGTGCTAAGTTACTCTATGAAGGGTGAAGCTGACTGTCATACAAAGAGTAAAATGCAAACAATACGCAGTCTCCAGGATCACGTTCAGGGTGGTAAATTAATGAATTCGACAATGGTCTGCTTCCTGACTAACTCCTGATATGTTACCTGCGTTTTGCTCTGCCAAGGAAATACGTATCAACAATCAACCAACGCATGAAAAGTGAATTATCGATACGGAGAATCGTAATATTAGCTTATGCAAAATGACCTATTTAAAATTAATGGAAATTTCCTGCTTTTCTTTTAGCGCTGTGCCTTTTATAAAACGCTTTACACGCATGAAAATCTGTCGGTAGTTGTACTTTCTGAATGATTAACACCAAGATAAATAAATGAACCGCTTTTTTGCATCAAAGATTAGTACGCTTTAACTAGTGCGCGCTGACGAGAGGTATGGCTGGAATGATAAGATAAACATGCTAAGTTACCATTATATGTTTAGAGTTCATGCCCGTTTGAACCTCAGCCCTCTGTGCTGCACTCTAAAATGAATATCGTTCCTCACCTGGACAGATGATCCTTCTTCACATGACTGACACTTTTCTTCCAGGAACAAGTCGATGCCTAACTCGGCGTTGCGGTCGAACAGGGCGGGACGATTTCCGCCGATGCCGCTTGTAGCCATGAATCCGCTTGGACTCAAAGTCGACAACGCGCTCGGCGGGTTCTGGACGGATTCCGGTTGGACGATTCGCGGCGTAAAGTATACATTGAAAAGACAAGTCGATTTGACGACGTCAAAATCCCACGTGATCACGCAATCGATTTCGTTCACCGGGATTAAAACCTAAACACAATGTGTTAGCGACCCCAAAAAAGTCTTCACGAAATAAAACGTTCAGATCGGAATGTCACAGGCTAGAAACAACAACACGATCAAATTTACTTTTTTAATTTTACAAAAATATACTATTTATCCTCAACACCATCAGGAAAGCGAAGGAATTTTCAGCAAAGCGCTGGCTATCTTCACCTAAAGCATTTCAAAATTAAGGATGGAACGCTGTCTTTCATGAACATCTGTAGCCAATAAAACAGTGATACGTGCCACTATGAAAAAGAAATTCATTCGATAACTACCAGCTGGCGCCAGATTACTCAGAAAGTCGGCGTTAGTACTCGTATATTCAAGAACAGAACATTGTGCGACTCCATACAATGATGACAAGGAAATGCAAGACAGCAGTACCGAGACTGCATAATCATCAGAGTTCAATCACTAGCGCATCAGTCGATACAATCAAACTTCGCAGGCGACATGTCAAACGGAAAGGCCACAACTTCCGCCTACTGAACAAAGGTAAACTGACAACCTTTTCTCATTTCAGCCTTTGGTATGTAACCCTAAGCACAAAGAAAACATAAAGCGAGTGAAAAATTGCAGCAGTCACAGTTCTTCATTTAAAAAAGTGCTTTCGCTAGTTTGTCATGAGTTTAATAAAACAAGTCGTCCCGAAAAATGTACATTTACTCAATATATGCATAATTCCACTTCGTTAATGCACTGCACCGAGAAGACAATGCAGTGAAATTCTGTTACACTGATCCATTTTTATAGCCTGCTATTCTTTCGCGTTCTGGCAGCTCGTCCAATAATCCTGATTCTCCGTTAATCGATAATGGATCATGCTGTATTCGAAGACGGGCAACACATAGTGCTGCTCCTATATGCCTGCGCTATTTGTCACCGGTTTACTGGTTCTTATGGCTTGATGAGCAGGTGCATGATTCGACTTTCTCCCACAGCATCCTGATTACGTGTTAATAAAATTACGATTAAGATCTCCCACCATGATCTTAGAATGTAAAGTACACTCTCGCCGGCAATGCCTCTAAGCCGATGAATAGTGCTCATTATACATTTTTGCCCTCACAACCATGGTTTGCCGTTACAGTTAAGCACATAAGAATCTCTTGATTTTGAAGAAATTATTCTGTGCTCCAAAACACCATAATAAAAAGAAGCCGCAACGCAACGCTACCATACCACTGAATTCTGACTAAATTAGTCTCTGAACAGCACTGGCACGGCG